CTTTTAGAGGCCCTTCCCATTCCATGATTTTGTGATTCTGTGTTCCTTTATCCTTAAAGGGACTGTGATATCCAGGAAGGCCTTAAGTTCCAGCCTGTCTTTAAAAAACAAGGGAGGAGGGTGGAAAAAAAAAGAAAAGAATAGAAAGCAGATTAAATTAGAGAGTAGGTGCCCACCACCATGCATGGTGTGTTGAGTAGTGTGGTGCACACAACATCTTTCTGGGTAGCAGCTCAGCGGCACGCGCTCCACTCATTTTGGGATCCACTGAGCAGTGGCTTCCTCCCTCCCTCTCCGTCTCTCTCTCTCTCTCTCTCAGGCCTGTCCTGTCTACCATCTCTTTTAATCGTGCGCCCACCACCCACCCCACCCTCGGCCAGGCGTGTTCTTTGTGAGGGCTCAGCCGAGCGCGTCTAAACTGAACCGACGGGCCCGGCTTCCCAGCGCCCCCGGCAGCTGCCGGCAAGAGAGTCCCGGCGCTCCATGCACGCGACCCCCCCTCTTTTTTTTCTTTTTCAAACCATTAGGGCCAATGTTTCTCTGCAAAGCAAACGGGGATCCCCGGGACCCCCCATTTCTGATGGAGGCTGTAGCACACAGGCTGGCGTGTCATCCTCTTCGTCTTCCATTGAAAGGCAGCCTGGAGCAGCTGCCTTCTTCCCTCCTCGTCGCCTCAAACGGAACCCGAGTCCCCGTTTCTCCTGGTCCGGGTGCTGTGAAAACGTGGGGGGGGGGAACGACCCTCCCTCCCAGCCTGGGAGAGCCTTCGGTGGATGCTCGGGAGCCACCCGTTTGCAAGAAGGAGCTAGGGGCTGTGGTGCGGAAGGGTGGCTGGCCCCTTCCTTCTCACCGAAAAGTGCTTGAAAGTGGATGCTTTTTTTGCATCAGGTTGGCGTAGACAAGGCAGATGCAAAATCAGAAATGATTGGTGTCCTTTAAACAGGTCTACGTATAGGGGCCATCTCGCTCTACTGAAGGAGCGAGCAAGCAAGCCACCAGTGTGCTTTGCATTGACTCTGTTGCCCAAATACGGCCCCTGGTGAAGGATGAACTGCTTAAAAGCGACGGGATCTCTCTCCTTATGACTCTTGGTCTTTCGATATCAACCGGACAGCCTGTCAGATGAAGGATGCTTTGAGAAAGGGGGACTTGTTCTCCAGCACACTTTTGGGCAGAGGACTGTCCTACCTAAAAGAGGCCACACAGCCAGCCTGGGCAATAGGCGTTGGGGTGGACGTTTTTGCCTTCTCGGATCATGGCCTGCATTGCTTAGGGTCCCGATGGTGTTCACCCATCCTTGCTGAGAATGTCCGGTCGGTGCTGGGTCACCAGATCTGAGATTGTCCAGAACCTGGCCTCCGTTTTAATTTCCCACAATGGTCCCGATGGTGTTCACCCATCCTTGCTGTGAATGTCCAGTTGGCACTGGGTCGCCAGATCTGGCCTCCGTTTTAATTTCCCACAAAGCCCTGGGGAATGCTACAAGGAGGGGCATTGTGGGACATTAAACGTGCAACTTCCCTTCCTCTAGAGGGCGCCCCGGGACGACGGTGCAGCTTTTGCCCAAGGCCACCCAGGCCCATTATTGTGAATTGCCGCTTTTGCCCAAGGCCACCCAGGCTGGCTCTTCTCCTGGGAGGCCCCGTGGGGGGGGGGGGAATCGAACTCCCAACCTCTACCTAAACCATGGAGCAATCCAACCAGTTGCAAAGCCCATCATCTGGCTCGGCCCGCTGGCGTGAGCGGCCCACGGTTCCTGCTTTATCTCCGAAGTGGACAAGGTGCCATGTCACGGCTCGATGGGAGCCTTCTGAGAACATTTCCCTGGATTTCTGCTCTCCCCCCCATTTAACAAATCTGCAAAAAAAAATATTATTTCCTCTTTGTAAAAGTCTTCAGAAGTATGCTCCCCCTCCGCTGCCGCCTCTGATTCTGTAGGCTCTGTTTCTCAAATTCTGGAAAGCTGTGAAAATCGGCCCCGAAAGAAGCTCCGTGATGGCAACAGGATTTAACCTCCTAAAAGAATCATCACGCGATGGGGTCAGCTTTTGCATCGTGGTGATCACACTCCTGAGGATGGCTGCCCCTCCCTTGGGGAGGGGAGATGGCAGCGGAGGGAGAGGGGTCCTCCTTCCGTGGCTGGGCTAAGATCCAACGGAGGCCTTCATAGCTAATTCCGCTCAAAGCCGCACGACGCGCGTCTGCATGCGGACAGATCTGGGTCAATGGTGACTTTGCCGAAAGTGTGCCTCTTGTCTTTTTCTCTCTCTCTCTCTCCTGGTTTGGCTTTAGCCCAGACTCTCCCCCAGATCTCAGCTCTTTACGGGAGTATCCCCGTAATCGGAGGTTTTCCTTCTGGGCAAGAATGGGCCTGCGGGGTTGGACTGCTCCCCATGTGCCTGGTGGTGAGAAGCGGGCGCTGGCAGACCAGGGAGGCTGTCGGCTTGCCAGGACACCTGGGTTCTCTCCGCAGCCCTCTTTGGCTGGGGCAGGACCGGTTGCCTTCCGACCGTCTCCTTGCTCATCTCTGCGGTGGCTGGCTGATGAAGAGATCAGGAGAGGGACTTTGTCTATGCAAATATTTCAACATCTTGTTTAAATATTCAGTGGCCCTGCAGAGCATCCTGCGGCGGCTGGGGTGGTGGTGGTGGGCAATGCAGGGAGCACGGAGGGGCTTCGGAGGGGATCCCGTGTTGCCCGGCAGGTTGGGATCAGGGACAGACACCTTTGCACCGCCTCTACCCCAAGGCCTAATCTCCCTCAATCCTCTTAATAACAAGGTCTGCCTTCTCCTATCTGGAGCGATTAAGGAAATCTCCTCTGGCCTTCTGCGATGGCCTGAGAGCCTGGCCTTCTTCTTCCTATTTCACAGCGCCCACCTTTGCAGGACGACCGAGCGCCACCTGCTTCCCGGACTCTTTCATTGCCTCGCCTTAATCTTCCCTTCATATCTTCAGAGCTCTCCGATAGTCGGTCGATCCCACCTACAGTATTTATTTTTGGGTCGTTGTGTTATTTTTAAAAATTAAATAAATATATATATATTCTCAGGGCGACTGACACAATAGATTCATGTCGGATGAACTTGTCCACAAAAGCCCACATTAAACAGAGATAAAAATTAATCTTGAAGGTGCCACCACCTTTTTGTCTTCTTTTTTTACTTTTGGCTTTTTATTTTGTTTTTACCTATAATGCGTACACAATAAAAGTAAAGTTATAATTACATTTATAATACCCATATGATTGTTGTTGTCATTTAGTCTTTAAGTCTTGTCCGACTCTTCGTGACCCCCATGGACCAGAGCACGCCAGGCCCCCTGTCTCCCACTGCCTCCCATTGGAGTTGAGTCAGATTCCTGTTGGTCGCTTTGATGACCCTGTCCATCCATCTCCTCCTCTGTCGTCCCCTTTCTCCTCTTGCCTTCACACTTTCCTAACATCAGGATCTTTTCCAGGGAGCCTTCACTTCTCATGAGATGGCCAAAGTATTGGAGCCCCAGTTTCAGGATCTGTCCTTCCAGGGAGCATTCAGGGTTGATTTCCTTTAGAATGGATAGGTTTGTTCTCCTTGCAGTCCAGGGGACTCTCAAGAGTCTCCTCCAGAACCACAGTTAGAGAGCATCCATTCTTCGGCGGTCAGCCTTCTTTATGGTCCAGCTCTCACTTCTATACAACTATATGATAGCACTGAGCAAACAAGTTTAAAAGAGCAGATGAACACACGAGCCATTGAACATATTGTTGGTTGGGTGTCTTTATCTAACGTGAAAATATTAGCAAATTAAGAAGGACTTCACATGAAAGATTGGACGCTTGCACTGAAAAGCAGGTTTCTGCCCACTTTTCCTGCTTTCGATGTCAGGGACGCTCAGAGGAAAGCATTAAATAATAATTTCTGTACAGAGATAGGCTTCCTTTCAGGGCCCCTGATCCCAAACCCATCCAGGTTGGTGTTCAGAAATGGACTGGTTGCTGTAAGAATGGCTGGACATTGTTTTGGGTTTCTGGTGCTGGCCAAAGCTCTTCCGAACTTATTTTTGAAGTAGTTGGAGTCTCCCGCCTTCGAGAGCATCCCCAGGTACAACGTGTTGTAGTCCTCTAGCTGCAGGGGTGCTCACTCTTTTGTGTTTTATGCTCTACCCATCACTGTATTGAGAACCTGGATTCCCCCCCCCAGGAGAGAATCATTTTATCTAAGAAAGATGTTTTTGTACTTACGAGCGTGCTGTGGTTATATTTATGACTCGTAACAAATTCAAAGAACATTAAAAATTGCAGTAGTAATGCTGGGAGGGAGCACGGACAAAGAGAATTCACACTTGCATTAGGAGTTGAAATGTGTAAATAGCGCTGGGGGTTCTTTTATTCCTGTGGAAAGTGATAAAGAGCAAAAGATAATCATTTTTAAGTACAGTGGTGCCTCGCTTAACGAGCGCACCGTATAACGACGAAATCGCATAGCGATCCGTTTTTTTGGATTGCTAATGCGATCGCTCAACGTCGTTTAGATAGGGCGAAAATCGCTTTACGAAGATCGGTAAGCGTTTCGCTTACCGATCTTCGCAAAACGAAGCCCGACGATCAGCTGTTCGGCGGACAAAATGGCCAGCGGAAGCTCCGTAATGGCCGCACGCAGCATTTTCGTGCCCCCCCCTCGCTTAACGAGGGCGCGAAAATGGCTGCCGGCCATAGGAAACCTCGCTGAACGGTGAGTAAAGGAGCCTTTTGGAACGCATTAAACAATGTTTAATGCGTTCCAATGGCTTTCCCTGTCCCGTTCAGCGATGTTTCGCTATAGCGAAGGTTAATCTGGAACGGATTAACCTCGCTATGCGAGGCACCACTGTACTTGTTATGAGAACCTTGCGTCCCACCTCGGTGACTTCTGTGTCCTACAAGTCCGTAGGTCTTCCACGGGTTGAGCGCTGGTCTTGGACCATGACAAAAGCTAATCCCTCTTTTTCTCTCTCTCTCTCTCTCTCATTTCTGCCCCACAGCAACCTCCGATGGCACCAAGGAAGGGCTCGAGAACATGAAGGGGGGTGCCTGCCTGTCCCGGGGCATGAAAGTCGTCTTGAAAGTCGGACAGCGTAAGTCCCCAGGGGTGGAGAGGGCGGTCAAGATGAACCCACAGATCAGAGCTCTGAAACCTAGGGAAAGGGGGGGGTCATCCTTTGGGTGGCGTTTTTGGGGAGCCAGAACATCCTAGGGAAAGAGCGGAGTTGTGTGGTTAGAAAAAAAGGGGGTCCCTTGGGAGGGGGAAGGTGGGGAGCATGGACATGGGGGAGGGCCTCGGGGTCGGGCTTGAGCCCGGCCATAGGACAAGCAGCCAGAATTCCTGGGTCCTTTGTGCTTTCCCTCTGCAGCCCCCCCTCCGCCCCCCAGAACTGGAAAGCCCACACCCGCCAGGCCCTACACACGTGTTAGGAGATGGAGCTAAGGTAGCGGGTTGGTCCCCTGGAATGAAGACGATGCCTTGAGAAAGCAGACTGCTATGATGGTCAAGCATGGGACAAAGGGGTGGGTGGGTAATATTCTAGAGAGCCGTTGACTTCCCCAGATGGCCGTCTGCCCCCCCTTTCTTCCCCGCCTGCCCCCCTGCTTTGCTTCCAACATCATTATTCCTCCGCATCCTCACCCATTGCCACCCTTTTCCAGGGGTGCTCCGGCTGCCTCTCATGGATCTTGCACCCCCCATTCCTAAACAACATCCGGCCTCCAAGCACCGCTCAGACCAACCATTCCCCCCCCCCAAAAAAATAACTTTTATCTCGAAAGAGACTTTTCCAGGCCCTTCTCAGGCTAGAATAAACGGAAAGGGAAATTTGGAGGCAAAATACCCCTCTGTGAACTTTCCTGCCTAGAACTTATTTCCTGACCTTGGGAGATTTTTATTTAAAAGATATATATATTTAAAAGTTGCCCCACACTTTGGCTCAAGTAAGGGGAAAGAATGCTTCCGGGGGGTCCTCAGCTCAGCAGTCAGTGCAAACCGGAAAATAATTTTATTCGGTTTTAAAAGAAATTAAATTGTTGGGAATGGAACTGCCCGTTAGCAGAACGCGCCGTCCTTCTCCTGAGAAGGGGGCTCAAGGCAGCTCACAATATTAAAACGAGTAGAATTAAAATGTAAGTTAAAATGAAAAAGCCATCAAACGATAGGCTCATTAAACTATGCAATCGAATAATTAAAACGACTGCACATTAAAAACGGTCTTAAGTTTTAAGAAGGCATCCTGGGAGTGATTTGACCAAACCTTGGTGGTAATTTTTTAAAGAATGGCATTGCCTTTAAGGTCACGGACGGGCGTGCAAGGCCGGAGGCGTGGGGCAGGGCTGGGCGTCTCCCTGTGTCCGTGGCCCTTTGGGGGTCCCTCCCCACTCCTTGCCCGTATGCCACCCCCCCTTCCCGTTTGCCCACTGCTTTCTTTTTGACCTTGCCCCCCAGATCCCAACACGGGCACCAAATCCCAGATGTTCATCCCAGACACACCTGCCGAGAAGGAGCGAGGTGCCTCTGGCGCGGTGGAGCCCAACAAGGAGATCAACCCAGGTATGGCCTTCCTGCCGTTCTCCACCCACCCTCCCTGTTCTCGTGGTCGGTGCCCGGCTCGGTTTATCTCGATGGCCTTTTCCCCGGCTCAGGGCCTCCACTCGAGCCCCACGCTTTCCACGCCATGTTCCCTACATCCATGCCGCTTTTCCTTTTTCATCCGCTCCACGCTCCCGCGCTGTGCTTCCAGAAGAACCGGCCACGAAACCATCCCGCGTCCAGAAAGGATTCCCTCTTTCAGTCTTAAGTGGAGCACCCTGAGGCTTAAAGAAGGGGCCGTAGGCAGTCTGGGGTCCCTGCCAATATTGGGGGCAGACGATAGGGAGATAGACGCCAGTCACCATGCAGAGAATCAAGGTGGGAGCGTTCACACCTTTCCTGGGGAGTCCCCTTGTTCTGCCCGGCTGAGAAAACCCAGGCGCCCGGGGCTCTCCTCTCCCTCCTTCTTCCGCTGACCTCCCTCCTTCCAGAGAACCCAGGCGTCCCGACTCCCTGCTTTACCTGGGCCTGTAGCCCATTCCTCTCTGCTCCCGAGACAGAAGGTTTGAAAGCCCTCTCCGCTGGAAGACGGGCACCGACGGCTACTGAGTCAGCACGGCTGGGACTCTCAGTCTCTGGCCACCCACCCAGCCAGGAGCCCTCCAGCTGGGCTGAGGCCTGGCAAGACGGTCAGGCCTGGCAGGACGGTCAGGTTCTCTTCTCCAGCTTCTCTTCCGCCGCTCGGGGAAGGCGAGGGAGCCGAGAGGAGGGACCCCAATGCGGTTGAGCTTTATTGAGAGTGATGCTCGAGATGAACCTTGCCAAGCTGGGCCAGGGGAGGTGTCGGGGAGGCAATTAGCTCCATTAACCAGAGTCGACAGCCACTAACACGCACCTTGCCCAGCTCAGCGGGGGCCGCTCTGCTCTTTGGATGTGTCTTCACCCACCGGTTGTCACTCAGCCATTTTTTTTAAATTCACTGTATACAGATCAGAGATGGGGGGGGATAGAAGGAGCCACTTAGACCACGGCTGCCTCTTCCTCCCCGGGAATGGCAATGACAAGCCCCCCCTCCCTGCCCAGCAACCGGAGCAAGCAGGGTGTCATGGGGGGGGTTGTGGTTGGGCCGTCCTGTGTGCAAGACCACGAGAGCCACCAAGAGATGGAGGACCCACATCTTTTGGGGGAACGATGGCTCCCAAAATATCCGAGCCGGCGAGGACCGCTTGGTGTCGTCCAAAAAAACCAAAAACCAAAACAAAACAAAAGGAACTTCTCACGTCTCTGGTTTTGCCCCAGAGGGAAGGGCTGATCTTTCAAAGCTGCCCTGCTTGCCCTCAAATCTGCGGAAGGAAGCAGCAAAGGGAGCTTCCAGAAGCAGGACACCGGAAAGGTCCCTGTGATTTCTAGTAAAACTGATGGCAGGAAAAGCAAACAGCTCGATTGCAGGGAGTGAATGAGAGGAGACTTTGCAGGTCAAGGTGAGGGCCAGGGGACAGGACAGAAGCCAGGTCTCGACTGAGGTTGCCTGTCTGGCTGCTCTCTCAAGGTGAACAGGGCCCTCCTCACAAGGAGAACTGGACGTGCGAGGAAAAGCATGCCGCTGAGACCTCTCCTTGCCTTTAAAAAACGGAGAGGGCTTTTCGTGAGAGACCCATCAATGTGTAAAGCTGTCTCTGTGTGATTCGGGAGGGGCTGTCCCTGTTTGATTCGGGGGGGCTTTCCCTGTTTGATTCAGGGAGGGCTGTCCCTGTTTGATTCAAAGTTATGGCAGTTGAATCACTGTTGTCGTCAATGCAGAATGTTTAATTATCCTGAGCAATAGGGAGGGGCATTAATCCCCCCCACCAAGATCACAGGTCACCTCTCCTCTTATCACCCCCTCTTTCTTCCCTGCCTCTTTTTTAAAAAAATGTAACAATTGACATGATGCCGAATTGATAGAACAGCTTTTGAAACCGTAGTGCTGATCTGATCTAGTGCTGAAGTGGAGAAGCATAATTTAAAAACACTGTATGGAGGAAAGGCAAGAAGTGCTCACTTTGAGGATGATGTTCCTGCTGGACTGGCACGCCCTTCAGTACAGCATCGCGTGCTGGTGCATCCTCCTCAAGTGACCACCTCTTCTCTTTCCTCTGGACAGTTTTTAACCATGCCTTTGCAATTTAGCGCTACGTCACATAAGCACTCTAGTTTAACAAGTTATAGCAATGCAGTGCTACGTCACTTCCAAGTTTTCTTTTTTCAAAAAGAGGTTCAATCGTCAAACATCACCCTAGAACACCACCTGCCCCTGGTGGATGCACTCACACATATGCCAGAAACAAACACAACACAAAAGGCATGTGAGTGGAACCGCTACTCCATGCAGACTCCATCACAAACTATGGGGCGAATTGCCGTGTAGTTACACCCTTCCCTTTTCCCCCCAACATTTTATCTGCCTTGAAGACCTTGTTTGTCTAACGGGGGAAGCAGGGAGATGGCATGCCTGGGGTGTGTGTGGTCTCTCCTAAACTCTCTTTTCCTCTCCCCTGAAAACCAGGACCTCCGACTGGGAACACCACTGGGAAGGTGGGAGGCGAGAACGGACCCCTGCCGCAGTCCAATGTGCCAATCATCGCGGGGGCCGCTGGGGGGGCCGCCTTTGTCCTGCTGGCGGCCGCAGCCGTGACGGGGGCCTTGTGTTACCGCCACCGCCGGGCCAAGCACAGCGAGTCCCACCACCCGCCTTTATCGCTCAGCACCCTCACCAGCCCCAAGCGGGGCGGAGGCAGCGGGGGCGGCAACAACAACGGCTCCGAGCCCAGCGACATCATCATTCCACTCAGGACTTCGGACAGCGCTTTCTGTCCCCACTACGAGAAGGTGAGCGGGGACTACGGCCACCCCGTCTACATTGTCCAGGAGATGCCCCCGCAGAGCCCCGCCAACATCTACTACAAAGTATGAGGAGCGGGTGAGGTGCCCGCTGGTTGCATCTTTGACCTCCATGGCCGGGAGGGGAGACACTCGGCCCAGGCGGGGTGGACGGGACGACGCCACCCCGCACACCCCTCTCGTTCACCCCCGAGGCTGCACAAAGGGGAAGGGGGTCAACGCACAGCTACTGGTGCCACCCTCTGGCAATCAGTGTGGGGGGGGGTGTCAGTGAAACTTGGACCTTCTCCCACCCGCAGTGAAGGCACAGACTCTTGATGGCCTTCCCCTTCCAGAGGATTCCAGCTTGGCAAGGATTAACTGAGGGAGGGCCGTGACCCCCCCTTCCCGTCCGATGTGACCGATGCAAACCGTCTTTCCCCTCCTTCACATCCCGTTCTCTGCTGGAAAAAAGGGCGGAGACTTACACTACCACCTCACAACAGAACACACAGGTGTACACACTTCCCCCCCCCTTCATCCTAAGCCGGTGGTCTTTTCTGGATGTCCGCCCGGCTGCAACCCTCCTGTTATCTCCTTGTGACTTCGGCGCTCGAGAGTGTTGGAGCGCAGATTCCCGTAGCTCTGATCCAACACGCAAAGGTGGCTTGTCAATGTGCACTGTCGGCCGAAATGAATTTCAGAAAAGAGAGAAAGAAAAGAAATTGAAAAGTGGCTGAAAGAAGAAAAAAATGGGAAAAAGAAAAATCCGAGCACATTCTTCATATACACATTTCCTGGCAATAAGTCAAATGTATTTTTTTTTTGTTGGTTTGTTTTTGTTTTTTCATACCATACCGAAGATCCATGCTATAGCGGCTAGACCTGCTTTTGTGAGGACAAAGCACCACCTCCTGAATCTGTGGAGGTTGGAACTTAATGTGACTGTCTTAAAAAGAAATCTACTGAGACTTAAGATTTGCCTTTCCTTCTCACACCGATGTGCCCCTCAAATTTCGAAACGTTCGTGATTTCAGCATTCTGCTAAGTTTGATTTCAGCTCTGCAATATTGGTTTTCCTTGTTCCCGTTGACTCCTTTGGATTCCTGATGGGAGAGGGTGACACAGACCAGCTCTCTTTTGCCCTGCACTCACCCACCAGACATCTTTCCAGTCAACAGAAGACACACCTCCAGGGCCGGTGCTGACCAACTGGCGTGCAGAGCTTCGAACCTTTTTTTTTGGTGGGTGGGGCTCCAGCTCCCCCCCAAAAAAACCCTTCAGGTTCTGGGAACTGGTGCCTTCCCCCCCCCCTCGGAAAATATAATGCTCCGATCTTTCAGCTTGGTTTCTGTGCCTGCCCTGGTACCTTTGCCCCCACTTTTTATATTTTTTTAAATTTTCACTAGGGAAGGGATGAAGGAGGCAGACGTGTGTCCCCCCCCTCTACCCACCACCACTACCTGGTGCCATTGACATACCGCTGTTTGAACAGCGTTTGGATCCGGGAAACGTTTTGGGTGACGGGAGCCTCTGCTGCCCAAGACTGGACTCTGCGACCCATTTCTTTCGTCCAGGGGCAACCGTTTGGGAAGGCCTTTCCCTTGTTTCCCTTGCTTAGGGAGTTTGATTCCCCCGCAGTGCCTCCTTGACTTGATGATCCATAAGGGTCCCTTCCAGCTCTGCAGTTCTAAGATGATAATGATGATGATGATGATGAAGAAAAGGAGAGAAAGAAAAGCCAAACAAAATAAGGGGTGGCAGTTCTAAGATGATAATGATGATGATGAAGAAAAGGAGAGAGAGAAAGAAAAGCCAAACAAAATAGGGGGTGGGTGTCTTCCCCTTCTGACCATGCTGGAGAAGATGGGGCGAGGGGGTGTGTTTTCCCCCTGATGTTGGGTCGTTTTGGGGTTGTTCGTTTGTTCGTTCGATCATCCTGGCGTGGGGGGGGAGAAGCTTGTGACTGTGCGTTGCCCAGTGGCCTCAGTCTGGTGGATATTAAGAAGCCGTGTGTCGTGTGTGAGCCGTAGTGGAACGCGCAAAGAGGCCGGACGTTTGTGTGTTTAGGCGGGTGGAAATGTGGTCAGACTTCCCTGTTTTGATAAAGGGAAACAGAAACGGGGAGGGGGTTGGAAATTTGGTCTTTTTTCAGCTTTAACAGAAGTTTCTTGGGGGGGGTTTGTTTTGTTTTGCTTTGTGTTTGTTTGTTTTTTTCAATCTGAGAGTTTCTTAGCTTTGTCGGTGGAATTTTACTGTTGGACATTGTTGATTATAGAAGTTCTTGTGAAGCTTGGTTTCGACTCTTTCTTTCTTTCTCCCCTGCCTCGGCTTTGAAGGTCAAAAGGGTCTTGCCAGGGCCAGACCCACAAGGGGTTTTCCCCCCTGTGCATGCCCTGCTCCTTCATCTCTATGGCCGTTTGGTGTAGGTGTTAGCTACCAGCCGGCAAGCAGAAAACCACTCTGCCCATGCTCAGGAGCAGCAGATGGGCTGTGAGAAATCAGAGTTCAAGTTCAGAAATGCTTGAGGGTGGCGGGGGGGAATAAATTAGCGAGAAATTCTCTCCCTCCCTTACCCCAAACACCAGTCCTCCGGAAACGGGTGCCAGCCATGCCAGGGCTGTGCCCGGGGGGAGCCAAGGGTCTGGGATTCCTTTCCTGCGCGGTCTCCTCCCTCTGCCCCAAGATGGCCATCCGTGCCTGCTCCTCTACGCCCTTCCTGACCTTGCATGGCCGCCCCCCCTCCTCCTCCACCGTCTCCTCTCCCAGCCCTCGGATCAGCAAACCTCCTTTTTCTACGTGATGGAGTCTGACAGCGTGTGGCGCTGCGGCCCCCCCCAGGGCCGTGTCTGTCCCATGTACAGAGATCTAATTGAAGACTCATTCCCCCCCCATGTGCCTCCATGCACACATGTGCCCAGAGGGAACTGGTGGGGTGTCAGCCTTTGGGGGGGGCAAGAGGGTCTGTCCTGCCAGCCGACTTGGGGGGGCTCATTTCCAAGCGGGACCCTCTCTTGACACTCCCCTTCGTTCAGATCCTGGCAGGCGTGCCCACCCACCCCCCACCGATGACAAGTACTCCCTCCCGCACTCTGGTAGTGCCAGGCATCTGCCACAATCTCTCTGCCCAACACACACACACCCTGTCCAGCTCCCCAACCTAGGCGTTCCGGGCCCGACTCCTGCCATATCCAGATACCTTGTCAGGGCTACAGACGAGGAAAGGACTTGAGAAGTTATTTTAGGAACAGGAGCCAGAGAGCACAAATCAGCAAAGCAAGAAGGGATGGGGGGGAGAGGGAAGGCGGGAGAAAGAGCGAGCATGCCAAGCGCCTTACATGCCCCAACGGAGATGGGGGGGCAGAGCCTGGCAGCCGGGGTAGGGGGGTGGGAAAGGTGGGGAAGGGATGGATTGGCGCATGGGGTCCATCTCGAAGCAGAACAGCCTGGTAACGAATTTGGATGATCAAGGTGTGCCCAGAACACAAGCTGAACTTCGGTGGCTTCTTTATTATTATTTTTTTAACACATTAGAACTGTCCCAGTGTTGCAAACGGTGAAGGGAGCTGCTCAAAATCTGGCATGGACATTGCTGCAAAACCAGACACACACACACACGCATTTGTACTCACACACACACACATATATATGTTTGTGTGTATGTGTAAACAACTAGCAGAACTAAACAACTAAACTCTGGTTTTTACCAGAGCTACTGAAGGAGGAGAAAGCAAGAACATGCTGTCGAAATATTTCTGCTCGTTACACTTAGAAGGGTATGTGTGTATTTCTTTTGTGTGGTTCTTTTGCAAAGTTACCGCACCCTTAGGATTCGGGCAAGAAATCCCACTGGGATGAAGATTATCTGACCTCGCCTGCAGACGATCTGCTTATTTATGATACACTCTCGGTTCTACCTAGCGCCGAATTTAGGAAAGGCTGCTCCATCGCCATATTGTTTCAGTAACTTGACATTAATATTTCAATGTTTCCAAACAAAAGGCAAGGTTTAGTGCGTGTTTGTGCGTATGTGTTTATGGTGCCTCTTGAAATTCAATGCCTCTGTTTAAACATCTGCACACGCTCGTCCTCCAAACAGAGGCTCACACATAACTTTGGAGACACAACCGAATGTTAAAATGTATGTGAAATTAGGGTTGTTCCTTCCCCCCCCAATTGCATTAAACTTTGCGTAGCCCAATAGGGCAGGGAGGGGAAGCGAAGCCTCCCCGAGACCCTGGGAGCCGAGGAGGGCCTGCACCCCAGGGCCCCCCATGCGGTGTGCACGACGTAGCCCCAAAACCCACAACATCCCAAATCAAGCTATCGCCCTCCCGAGGGTGGAACCCCCTGCTTCATCCTCCCTCCCCCTCCCCGGTGGCGGCTGAATACCAGGATGGGTGCAAAGCCCACAGTGTAGAACGGGGGGGGGGTTGCCCATTAGCTCAGCCAGCTTAGCCGCTTGGATGGGAGCCAGGGGTCAGCTGGGGTCACTCCCCAATTAGGTCACATTTTCTCCTCCTGTCTCCCATAGAGGAGGAGAAGCGCCGGCTAATGAGCGGGCGTTTGGGGTTCCTGTCCATCGCCTGGGTGGGATGAGGCTGGCTTGAGAGTAAGAAAGCGGGGCGGAGTGGGGGGAGGAGAGAAGAAGCCTCTTCTTGTTAGCCCACTTTTCTTGCAAGCAAGGGGGGGCAGTGCTGCCTATTGGGTTGTGCAGGGGGGGGAGAGGAGAAAGAGGGACAGCTTTTCTCTCTTTTTCCCTCTGAGGTGAGTTTGGCTTGAAGGGGCCCAGGAGAAGGGCTGCAAAGGAGGGAGGGGAGCGATGGTTTACATAGGACCAAGGGAATTAATCAAAGAGGCCCCATAAGCAGTCTTCTCTCTGTGTGTGTATATATGCCTGTGTGTATAGGGAGTTTTAAAAGTATTGCCAAGCCCTACGAAATGCAAAAAAAAGCCCCCGAACTCTCAAGGTATGGATTCAGGCGTTCATGTCGTGAGCAAAGGCAAATATAATAATAATAATAAGGCCAATGTGATTTTAGGCTGCAGGAGCAGGAGCGTCTTCTCCAGATCCCATCAAGGCCAATGTGATTTTAGGCTGCAGGAGCGTCGTCTCCAGATCCCACCAGGTACTGGTTCCCCTCTATTCAGCGCTGGTTAGATCTCCTCTTGAGTCTTGTGTCCAGTTCTGGATGCCACACTTTAAGAAGGATGCTGACAAATTGGAACAGGTTCAGAGGAGGGCGACAAGGATGATGATCAGGGGCCTGGAATAAACCAAGCCCTAGAAGGAAAGACGGAAAGAACCGGGCAGGTTTTGCCTGGAGAAAAAGGTGACGGAGGAGAGAAAAAACATCACTCTCCAAATACTTTAAAGGCTGCCCTACAGAGGAGGGGCAGGATCTGTTCTTGACTGTCCCAGAGCGCAAGACATGTCATAATGTGACCTACAGAGGAGGGTCAGGATCTGTTCTTGACCGTCCCAGAGCGCAATACATGTCATAATGTGACAAGGAAGACAGATCTAGGCTGAAGATCAGAGGGGAAAAAACTTCCTAACCGTTCCAGCAGTACGACAACGAAACCCATGACCTCGGGAGGGGGCGAGCACTCCAGCACTGGAGGGCTTCAAGAGAAGATTGGGCAACCATCTATCAGATCTGCTTTGACTGGGATTCCTGCCTTGATTGGACTCAATGGCCTTATAGGCCTCTTCCAACTCCATGATTCAGTGATTATATGAAATAAAAGACACGGTCAGGACAAAGTCTGGGATGCATCTCTGGAAGGCTGCTTCTGAGGGGACCTCCAACTGGCCCACCCGGCACAGCCCGGCCAGCGGGTGCTTTTCAGGGCCATCGTTGCCGAAAGTATCTGTTCCAAATTTCAGGCTACGGGGAGGCCTTCACTCGAGCATGGCTTTGGAGCCCATTTCCACCGCTAGGATTTAGATCTGTGGTATGAGAGGAAGCCCTGCCATGGCCCTGTGCATAAGCAAATTGCTCTCAGCTTCAGGTAACAGAAGGTCACCCCCAGGTAGTGTGAATTAGGTGATCAAAGGGACCGTCTTGGGCCAGTTGCTCATCGCTGAGACCCAAGATCTCGGTGTTGTGCATTGTCCGCACAACGCCACCCAGGGGTGTGTGTTCTTCCCCTGCTGTGGTGCACATACCGGAGATGTTCACACAAGGCGAGAGTCCTCTCCAGGAAGACATGCAGGTGTGACAGAAGAGAGAGGACACCAACCCAGACCACCACAACTGTCGGTTTTCCATCCACCACTGGGACCGGCTGAGTTTGGGGTGTGATTCTCGGTGCCTTCTGTTCTCCTCTCTCCTCTTCCTAGCAGCGGGCCCGGGGGACGAGAAGGTACGAGCGACGGCAGGAACCAAAGCTCAGGCTGATGCTCCCACCGCTCCCGGTTGCATCCTGAACTCTTGTGCAAGGCTGGAACCAGGAAGGGCGGAAGGATGCTCACCAGCGGCAATTTAAAAAAAATCAATAAATCTATTTCCTGGTGCTCTCATCAGAAATGGAGATGCTGGTATGAGATTCTGGGAATCTAGTCCCCCCCCAAAAAAAGTTACATCTACAAGCTCCATCCAGGAGTTACAGGCCAAACCTCTCTCCCCATCCCTCCCAATGATTCCCATATCTCTGCCTCTCGTCGATCCTTTTC